TGTTAATCACGCAAAGGTCGTTTGGGATCCGAAGCGGAAACCAAGAGGGCTTTTGGGTGCTCACCTAAACATCCGAAGTATCATCTCCAAAACCGAACAGTTGACTCATTTATTAGCTAATTCAAACTTGGACTTTTTGTGCATATCTGAAACATGGCTTCAACATTCTACTCCCATCAATGTATTTACAATGAATGGTTTCCAATGCTTTAGGCGAGACAGGACTGGGGGAAGAGGGGGTGGGGTACTTATGTATGTAAAAGACTCAATCAAATGTGAACGTATGTTTTTTAAGCCAGCTATCTCCCTTGAGTATGTTGCACTAAAAGTCGTCTTGTCTCAGCAAATGTCATTCATTATTATAGGTCTCTACAGACCCCCAACTGCTAATGATACATTTTATACAGAACTTGCTAACATTATTAAAGAATGTGACCATAATAAAGAAATAATTCTGATGGGGGATTTTAATCTTAACTGGGAAGACAAGTTAAAGAGGAGAAAGTTAAAAGCAATTACAGATAAATTTCATTTAGAACAGCTGATAAAAGGCTCAACTAGAATCACAAAACGTTCAAGTACACAACTCGATCTTTTTTTTAGTAATAAACCAGAAAGGATAATAAAAAGTTACAATCTTATCACTGGTTTATCTGACCACAACTTAACTCTGGTGGCAAGGAAATTAACTAAAAATAGATTCAAGAATAATATATCATCCTGTCGCAATAATGCTCTTTGTATACCTAAATGTAAGCAGGACACATTTAATACTGAGATACATAACTTGGACTGGGGAGATGTTTTATCTTCTGAAAATTTGGAGCACAGTTGTCAGTTATTTACATCAAAAATTAATGTTGTCAGAGATAAATTCACTGTCAAAATCAAGAGAAAAAACAGAAACAAGGTCAATCTGCCTTGGTTCAGTGAATATTTATGGAAACTGATGAAGAGCAGAGATGCTGCTTTAAAAAAGTCTATCAAGACTAAAAGAGATGCAGACATTTTGGTATACAAGGGCCTGAGAAACAAAGTGGTTAACGAATTGAGATTGGCCAAGTCACAATTTTTTCTCAAACTTTTGAAAGATGCTAATGGGAACAGTAGCCAAATATGGAAAAGTATTAACAATTTAATAGGGAGAGCTCACCATTATACAGAGGATATTCGGCTTACAATTCACAACAAGATAATAGATGACGATACAAAAATTGCCACCGCTTTTAATTCTTTTTTTATCGATTCTGTTCAGGAACTGGGAAACCATTTTAAACCTAGGGAACAATGTAGTAGCTTTGGTTTTGTAGGAGAGGGTTTTAACTTAGTTACAGTCTCAGAAGAAGAAATTAATAAAGTGATTAGTTCCCTAAGAAATTCAAAAAGCAAAGATACTTTTCACCAGGACACGATGTTTATTAAAAAACATTCGGCTACTCTAACCCCCCCTATTGCCCACTTAGTAAACCTTTCAATTACTCATAATACCTTTCCAATGGACTGGAAACATGCGATTGTAACTCCTATCTTTAAAGCTGGTGACCGCCATGTAGTCAGTAATTACAGACCCATTAGTTTATTACCAGTAATTTCTAAGGTTGCTGAAAAAGTGATCATAAACCAACTTACAGATCACATTGACAGTTGCAACCCCGGTCTAAACTCAGTCCAGTTTGGATTTAGAAAACTTCATTCCACAGAAACAGCAGTTTTACACTTAACAGAGCAAATTAGATCCGCTCTTGATAAAGGAGGAGTTGTTGGAGCTGTGTTTTTGGACTTAAGTAAGGCCTTTGACACAGTTAATCACAATGTCCTTATGTCCAGACTCATTAGCTTCAACCTTTCATCCAATACACTAGCATGGATTTCGTCTTACCTATCCAATAGAAGGCAGTGTGTAAAAATCAATGACTCACGCTCCAGCACCTTGGGGTACACAACGGGTGTCCCTCAGGGATCTGTGTTAGGCCCACTACTATTTAGTTTGTACATTAATGATTTACCTCAGCACTGTCATGATGTAGAGGTACAACTCTATGCTGATGATACAGTCTTGTACACTCATGCAACTTCAGCTCAACAAGCTGCTACTAAATTAACCAACGCCTTGGTTGGAGTGGCCGAGTGGTTGGACCAATCCTGTCTTACCTTGAATATAGGTAAGACGAAAGGCATGTTCTTCTCCAAAACTAAACTAAACCACTTAGACGTAAACATCTGCTTTAAAGGTGAACAGATTGAGACTGTGACTGAAATTAAATATCTTGGAGTGCTGCTTGATTCAAATCTGACTTTTAAAAAACACATAAAGAAAATGACAAAAATAATTAAATACAATTTGGCAAATTACAGACAGATTAGATCCTCTCTAACAATAGAGGCTGCTAAGATTTTTCTACATGCCCTTATCTTCTCACATATCGCATATTGTATCACCTGCTGGGGGCAGGCTAGCCAAACAACAATTAGGCCCTTAGAATCCCTGTACAAACAAGGCCTCAAAATTCTTGACAAAAAGCCAATCAGGCACCATCACTGTGACATACTTCAGAAGTATAATCTACTAACTTTTGAAAATTTTAGATTGTTCTCAAATTTATGCACAGTTTATAAAATTTTAAAAGGTCTGGCCCCCACATGTTTGCGTGAGTTTATCTGTTACCGTGGCTCTGTGAGGACCACTAGACTAGATTCTGTATATAGCTGTACTGTACCCTTTCGCTATTCAGCATTTGGGCAGACAGCCTTTTCTATCAAAGCTGCAATACAATGGAATATAATTCCAGACAATATAAAAACATCTGATTCGTTTGGGCACTTTAAAGATAATATAAAAAAACATTTAAAATTTTCGCAACAATGTATCCACTAATTTATTGTTAAGTAAAATTATTTTTCAGTCACATTTACCTTTTTATTATAGGGTTGAGAAGGGGTTGTGGGTGGACATATCGTTGTATGTTGTGATTTTAGTGTGTGAGTGTGTGTGTGTGTGTGTGTGTGTGTGTGTGTGCGCGCGTGCGTGTGTGCGTGTCAGTGAGGTTATTAAGTACATGTTATATGCTCTTGAAGAATGTTGGATGTTTTATGTTTGATATGCCAAATATTCTTGAATAGTATTGATATTTTAATCTGTGTCGTATGTATCTGTATTTATTTGTGCCGGGGGACTGCAGATGTAAATTAGCCTAAGGCTAACTCTGGTGTAATGCATCAAATGTTTACATTTATGTTATTAATTGCACATGGTCCCTTTAAATAAAAATCAATTCAATTCAATTCAATTCAATTATAACTTGATAAATAAACATGACTCGAATCGACTGGATGGCCAAATTGACCTTTCGCCGGCCCCTCCCACAAAATGGCCATTGTCCAATCACACATCATAGCAACCGTTACTGTGTGAGCTGTTCCGTCAAACAGTAAGCGGTGCGCCCACGGCGTTTGTAAATCGGACACATGATACCCTGAGAGATTGTCTGGAGAAGTTGTGTTTTTTCCCTTTCCAAAGCCCAAAACACAACGCGAGCGGTGCCTAAGATGTATTAAACAGTGTGGACGCCCCAATTTCAGTTAAATGTGTCGAACATGGTTAACTCGTCGTGCGTGAGACTGAGATTAGTCAAAGAAGCACGGAGAAAGCAGATCAAGAGGATCCACAAAGGACTTACATTTTCTAAAGGGTTGTTGTTAACATACCATGATATTCTCTGGGAAAATGAGCAGCAGTCAGCTAAGTTAGCAGTGCAGCACCGTAAACTACAGTTTAGAGGACGTTCGCAACGGGGAAAGCATGAAGCTTACATGACAACATCAGTTCATATATCAATATCGTAGCGAATAGAAATAACCTTAAATAACGTATGGTTCTCTGCCTCTTTCCGTCTCTTATGCATAACGTTAGTTACTTTTTAAACACGAAAATCGCATTCCGCATGAGCATGACACGCAATCGGTTGCTGTGGTAATGAACAACCTGCTTGTTAAAGCGAACGTGTTACTCCTGTAACGGAGGCAAAATGAATAAATATGCAGCGCAAGTTATATATTTCGAACTCCAAACAATTAGCCACTGAACCAGTTTATAAAATCTTCAAGGCTGTGCTGGTTGCATTTAAGGTAACTTAGCATGGTCATGGGGTTTTTCTGATTTTTCTTGAGACGCATTAGCATCAATAGTAGTCGTGTCTCATTCATTTCTTAATTTTATATTTGGAATAAATCCCTCCACCGCATACCGTAACCCCTTTTGCTTCGATCTTGCTTGATATCGCGGAGGTATTGCTCCAAAAAAGGTCACTGACACGCACGGAAATACCCTTTGCAGTCATGGCAATCTGTCGCGCTGCCCGTGTTTGACCATTTGTTTGACCGAGGTAGCAACAGTAACTAAGGGGGGCGGGGCTCGGCGAAAGGCTAATTGCAGAGCTGGCACATATTTACATATTCATCTCAACATCACTTCAGGATGCTTGCTAACAGTATACAACTGCAAGGTATTTCCAACTTCTTAACGGAAAATAGAAATGAACTTTGTCATGAGTATATTAGGGCCTTAAAAGATAACCTGTGCCCATCTTGAAATGAAGTTTGACTCCTTGTTTGTTCTCATTTTAGGTTTAGTGGAAGTGAAAGAAGAAAATGAAGAACTGAATGACAAGCACCATTACTATCAGAATTTCAAAACCGAAGACAAACCTTTAAGTTGCTTACAGACTGACTCAGATTTGAACCAAGGGAAGGCCAAATGAAAAGAAACCAAAAGGTCTTTCACTTGTTCAGAGTGTGGAAGGGTTTTCACTCAGAAACGATTCCTGACGAGGCATTTTAGAGTCCACACTGGAGGGAAACCTTTCACATGCCCTCAACGCAGAAAGAGTTTCGGAGAGAAAAGGATCCTTCGAAATCACATTCGAATTCACAGTGGAGAAAAGCCGTTCAGTTGTCGTCAGTGTGGAAAGAGTTTCACACAGAAAGCTAACCTTAAAACTCACATGAGAATTCACAGAGGAGAGAACCCGTTCGTGTGCCTTCAGTGTGGAAAGAGCTTGACAAGCAAAGGAAACCTTAATATGCACATGCAAAGTCACACCAGAGTGAAGCCTTTCAAATGTCAGCAGTGTGGAGTGAGTTTCACAGAGAAGAAAATCCTAACGAATCACATACGAATACACACCGGAGAAAGGCCCTTCACATGCCTTCAGTGTGGAAAGAGATTGGCAAGCAAAGGAAACCTTAATATGCACATGCAAAGTCACACCAGAGTGAAGCCTTTCACATGTCAGCAGTGTGGAGTGAGTTTCACAGAGAAGAAAATCCTTACGAATCACATACAAACACACACTGGAGAAAAGCCCTTCACGTGCCTTCAGTGTGGAAAGACTTACGCCCAGAAAGGTAACCTGAGTAGTCACATGAGAGTTCACAACCCAGAGAAGACTTTCAAGTGCCTTCAGTGTGGAAACACCTTCAAATGTAAAGGCACCTTTAATTTGCACGTGCGAATTCACATGCAGGAGAAACCTTTCATGTGCCCTATGTGTGGGAAGTGTTTTTCGCAGAAATCACACCTGAAGATTCACATGGGTAGTTCACACCAGAGAGAAGCCGTTACCGTGCCAGCACTGCGGGAGAGCTTTTAAAAGCAAAGAAAGCTTCAACGTGCACCACGAGAAGCACCAGCTTCTCGGCGCTGTACAGCGTTTACAGCACGGCGCTGTAAACGCTCACGAGTGCCCCGACTGTGGTGAAGCTTTCACTAGAGCTTGCGAATTGAAAATGCACCAAAGAAATCACGAAGAACAAGCCTACAAGTTCTCAGGATCGCTTTCATCACTTTTGCTTGATTCTGAGTAGAGCTAGCGGTGCTTAACAACTCTAACAAACTACGGGTACGTTTACATGACAACGATATGCTTAAAACGGAGAAGTTTTTCATTTGAGATTTCCGGGTACAGACGACACCATTGTCATTGTCAAACGATCCCCATTCACACGGATCCACGTAAAAGACTAAAACCCCTGTATTCTGCTCCATGCCACTAGATGGCGATGAAACACTATAGACTGAACACGTAATACGTGGATCAATACATGGACAGAGAATGTCTAATTGAAGAGAATTGGCACTGGCTGGTTACTTCCGGGTTCTGGACTGGCTGCAGTAACACGTCTCTGTCCATGCGGGGGCGCTCGCGGTCGAGTGCAGAATGAATGGCAGTCAATGGGGTTTCACCCCCAGAAATCCACTTTTCTCAGGATGTAATTTGAAAGTTGCATTCAAAAGGGAGGGCTAAGATAATACACTCAGCTGAAAATTGCATTTTTAAGTTCACTTATCTGTTAAAAAAATGAGTTCAAAATGTGATGACGTCACACTATAGCAGAATGCTAGCGTGTTCCGGCCAACAACGGCCTAACCTGTAAGAAATCAAAAGGACATAAGTACTCGTTCATTCGACTTTTGGCCTATAATCTATATTGAACTTGCGGAATCAACAATAAAATCTATGTTAATTTAACGACAAGCAGGTGAAATAGACACCGTTTGGCCCCATAGACTATCATTCATTCTGCTCTCGCCCGTGATCACCTCCAGTGGAATTCTAATGGAACTGCAACCAAGATGATACACAATGGGGCTAATAGGAAGTGCCAAGGCTCTCCGTTAGACGGGCTGTGACATGGATCACATCAACATCTTCAAAGATTAAAGTTTTTATTCTTCACACAGAGACCGTTTTCAAAAAACATTCACTTTAAAACCAAAATTTAGCGGTTTCAGGCGATCACATTTGAAAATGGTGTCGTGTAAACAGTTGCTATTATAGTAGTTAGTATAGTTGCATTACATGTCAGTAATAATGTTTAATTTTTATCAGCGTAATTTTATAGTGGTTTTCAAAGCGTTTTTTGTGTTCACACCAAAGCGATTTTCGCTGACAATGAGGTGAGTGAACATGCAAATTCATTCCCTGACATTATGGCGCCAATTTGCTCTGCAATACCACTCCATATCAGTTTTCTTTTATCAAGATGTTTGTAGTCCCTGTCGTGTTTGTCATATAGTTCTTTATGTTCTAACACCAACGAGAACAGCAGGTCTACATCATCTTGCCTTGTATCTTCCTCGTCTTGTTTCTTCCTGGCTGTGTAGACGGCGACGATATTTGGCGTATATCTTCTTATATCTTCTTTAGCGTATATCTATATCTGGCGTAACACTGTAACCAGCGTTTCTGAAAATCCTCATCCTGGCAGGGGTTTTCAAAAATGTTCGGTTTCAGTGTCCTTATACTTAGTTTCTGCGTGGACGAACCGCGTGAAAAAGTCACGGTGATAAAAATGACCCGTGTCTGTGTGGACAAGGCCTAGTCTCAGTTTCAAATGTCACGCCCACAGACCATTGGCTGAACATCTGATGCATATTGCTCACAAAATAGGAAACACTCAGAAGTTTTGAAGTCCTCATCTGATTT